CCAGAGTTAGGTAAACAATGTCATGTTAAGAAGAGTGGGGCAGACAGATTCTAAAAACTGTAGATCAATATACTTAGTATTAACCCTCAGGGCAAAAGGTTAGATAACAGATTCAGCAGAAAGTGAAGTAACCATTAGCTCCCAACAGAAGTTTATTTACCAAGTCATGTCAAACTAAGGAGTATTTGTTTCTTTGATAATTGGTAGATAGGGAATGTATACACATATTGTATTTCCCATTAAGCATTTGATTATGTTACAAAACTATCATTAAAGGTAGAGAACTGTCATTGAAGACTGACCAAATCTGCCTGAAGTAAAATGTGATAAACTGCAGAAACAGTGCAGAATGACAATGGAAGTCATATAGAATTGGTTCTTGAACACAGGTTTGAACTGCATACATCCATTTTTTGATAAACATATTGAAAACTTTTTTGGAGATTTGCAACAATTTAAAAAACTTGCAGATGCGCCATGTAGCTTAGAAATATTGAAAACTAAGAAAAAAGTATGTCATGAATGCATAAAACATATGTAGATACTAGTCTATTTTATCATTTACTACCATAAAATATATACAAATCTATTATAAAAACTTAAAATTGGCCAGGCACAGTGGCTCACACCTGTAATCCCAGCACTTTGGAAGGCCAAGACAGGCAGATCACCTGAGGTCAGGAGTTCAAGACCAGCCTGGCCAACATGGTAAAACCCTGTCACTACTAAAAATACAAAAATTAGCTGGGCATGGTGATGCATGCCTGTAATTCCAACTACTTGGGAGGCTGAAGCATGAGAATCACCTGAACCCATGAGGCAGAGGTTGCAATGAACCAAGATTATGCCACTGCACTCCAGCTTGGGTGACATAGCAAGACTCCGTCTCAAAAAAAAAAAAAAAAAAAAAAAAAAAAAGTTAAATTTATCAAAACTTACACATACACAGACTATATATTGGAGCCATTTGCAGTTGAGGCAGACATAAAGATGCATTACTAAATTACAGCTGCATAAGATAAACTATAGGACATTCTGTACTACTACCATAATTTCAGAGCTACCTCCCGTTGCTATTGCTGTGAGCTCAAGTGCTATGAGTATCCATTCAAAATGTACACACGGACATTTAAAATACCATGTGATGTTTATCATATCCACATGAGCAGTTCATCTCTCCAGTAAATTGTGTATCATTGCAATAAGTGATATCTCATGGTTCTCAGTTATTTTTCATCATGTTTAGTACAATCACAAACCTTGCAAGAATACCATGGGACCCATACAAAGTTCCACTAGTGATGCTGGAAGTGCTCCCAAGAAGCAAAGTCATGACATTACAAGACAAAGTTAAATTGCTTGATGTGTACTGGTCTGTGGTTGTAGTTGCCTATCCTTCAAGATAAATGAATCCAGCATAAGTACGACTGTTAAAAAAAAAAAATTAAGAAAATTTAGGAAGCCTTTACTGCAGCTATACCAGCTAACCTTGCACTTTTTGTGATATACCTTTTTATCTCACACTGAAAACGCAGCTTTTATGTGGGTGCCATATTGCCATAAGAAAGATGTACCTAGAGGCTGTAACATGATTTGAGAAAAGGCAAAGTTATTTTATGACAACGTAAAGCAAAAGAAGGTGATGTATCTAAATCTAGAGAATTTAATGCCAGCAAAGGATGGCTTGATAATATTAGAAGTTTGGCTTTAAAAATGTTAACAGAAGCAGCAGCTCCTGTCTACCAACAGGCAGCAGATGAGTTCGCAGATGCCATTAAGAAAATCATTGAGGAGAGAGGATTATCTACCAGAACAGATTCTTAAGGCAGATAAGAGTGCCCTATTCTGGGGGTCGTGGGGAAGCCACAAAGAACATTTATTAGTAAAGAAGAGAAGTGAGCATCAGGATTTAAAGCAGAAAGGGACAGGCTCATGCTACTGGGTTTTTTTTGCAAATGCTATTGGGTTTATGATCAAGACTGTACTTATTTATAAAGTTGTTAACACCCAAGTTTTGAAGGGAAAAGATAAACACCAGCTGCCAGTCTTCTAGCAGTATAACAAGAAGGCCTGGACAAGAACCCTTTTTCTGGATTGGCTTCATTCATGTTCTGTCTTTGAAGTCAGAAAGTACCCTGCCAGAAAGAGACTGCCTTTTAAAGTTCTTTTGATACTGGACAGTGCCCCTGACCACCCACCCAGAACTGCGTGAGTTCAATACTAAAGGCATTGGAGTGATCTATTTGCCTGCAAACAGAATGTCTCTAATTTAGCTTCTCGATCAGGGAGTCCTAAGGACTTTGATGGCCCATTACACACAGTACGCTATGGAAAGAACCATCAGTGCTACACAAGAGAACTTTAACAAAGAGAACATCATCAAAGTCTGGAAGGATTCCACCACTGATGATGCCATCGTTGCTGCAGAAGCCATGAAGCCATCAAGCTCAAAACAACAAATTCCTGTGTGACTTCACAGAATCAAGAAAATCAAGAAAGAGGTTGTAGATATGTCCAAAAAAAAAAAAAAAAAAAAAGTGGAGGGTAAAAGCTTCAAGATCTGAATCCTGGAGTGAATCTAAAGCTAAGCGATTCAAAGCTTAGCTTTTAGAGATAAGTGCCTCCGAATCAGTGCCAGACAATGAGGAAGACATTTGGAGGCAGTGCCAGAAAACAAATCAACATTAGAAAATCTAGTAGAAGTGTTGTGATTATTCAAGACTGATTTTACAACATAGATTCTTCTATCAAACAAGCACTGAAACTAAAGCAAATGGTGGAAGAAGGATTATACACACACACACACACACACAGACACAGAAACATTTTTAGAGAAATGAAAAAAAGCAAAACATCAAAACTTACAGTGCATTTTCCTAGTTATACCTAGTGTGCCTACTTTTCCTGCTTCCCCTTCCACCTCTGCTACCAATAACCAAGACCAACCCTTCCTCTTCCTCCTCCGCCTCAGCCTACTCAACACGAAGACAAGGAGGATGAAGATTTTTATGATGATCCATTTCCACTTAGTGAATAATAAATGCATTTTCTCTTCCTGATTATCTTCCTAACATTTTCTTTCTTCTAGCTTGCTTTAGTATAAGAACACAATATACGATACATATAACATACAAAATATATGTTAATCTACTGTTTATGTTGTCAGACAGGCTTCTAGTCAACTATAGGCTATCAGTAAAGTTTGAGGAAGAGTCAAAAGTTGTATTCAGATTTTCAATTGCACAGGGGGTTGGTGTCCCTAATCCCTGTATTGTTCAAGAGTCAACTATAAATTACTTGCTGATGGAGTATCCACAGACTTTACTGAATTCTAAGGTTGCTTTCCCCATGCTTCTGTGCCATTTCCATCTACTGCTGTCAGTAAACATGAAAGAGTAAGTATTAAGATTTAAGTGTTACTCTTTAGACTTAATCCAGACATTAGTAATATGAAACAAAAAGAAAACATTTTACAATGCATTTCAAAGTGGAACATACTTCATGTATCTGAGATTTTCTTAACACCAACTTTCTAGCACCTAGCCTCATACTTTCTCTTCGCAGAATATCTGTACTGTTTGTACCTTCACTTCTTTCAGGTCTTCACTGAACATCTTCACTTATGACCACTGGTACTTTCTATCCTCTTTATCTTGTTTCATTTATCTGTATAGAACCTATCACCATCTGACATAAATAATATTTAAGTGTGTATCTGTGGGCCAGGTGCAGCGGCTCACACCTGTAATCCCAGCACTTTGGGAGGCCGAAATGGATGGATCACTTGAGGTCAGGAGTTTTGAGACCGGCCTGGCCAACATGGTAAAACCCTGTCTCTACTAAAAAGACAAAAAAATTAGAATGGCACGGCAGCATGCACCTATAATCCCATCTACTCAGGAGGTTAAGGCAGGAAAATCACTTGAACAGGAAGAGGAGGCTGCAGTGAGCCAAGATCATGCCACTACACTCCAGCCTGGGTGACAGCAAGACTCCATCTCAAAAAAAAAAAAAAATGTATATTTGCTTTTCTGTGTTCTCTTCCCCTATCACTATCCCACCAAAGAATAAGCTTCGTGAGGGTACGGATGTTCTGGTTGTTCACTCAGTGCCTTGAATGGTTCCTAGCACATAGTATGCAATAAAGAACATAGGACTTCTAAAATAAATCTTGAGATTACAAGTACAATACTCTTATAGATAAGAAAATGACTCTGTGAATCTGGAAGTAAAAAGGAACCTAGGCAAAGAACAGACATTATAAAGTCCATGCAACTCATGTCCCCACTGCCTAGCAGTTAAGAAAGCAGGCTTCATACTTGAACAAAATAGGATTCCAGTCCACTTATTCATAGTGCTATCATTGGCAAACTAACCTCTTCATGCCTCAATTTAGCTACTAGAAAATAGAGATGATAATGATAATGGCCCCAACTTAATGTTGTCATTAAGGTGATTAAATGCAATAATGCATGTAATTACTAGTGAATAAAGCAACAAATAAGTGTTTAATAAAAGGGAGCTATTATTATTACTACTGCCACAACTACTATCATCATCATCATCATCATCATCATCATCATCATCATCATCATTATCATCTCAGTCAGGATCCAAAGCTAATTTCATCTTCATCATCATCATCATCATCATCATCATCTCAGTCAAGATCCAAAGCCAATTTCATCATCATATCATCATCATCATCATCATCATCATCATCATCATCATCATCTCAGTCAGGATCCAAAGCCAATTTCATCATCATCATAACATCATCATCATCTCAGTCAGGATCCAAAGCTAATTTTTTAGTATTTCCCAAATAATTTATGGTAAGATAGGCTATCTAGTTTCTAAGTCCAAACAACTGAGAAAAAAAGCAGATTAGAGAGATAAAACAGTCGCCAGAAGAGCAGAAAAAAACAATGGAAAACTATAAAAACTAGATTCTTAAGGTACTCATTACCACACAATAATAATGTACATAAAGATAATGCTTAGCCACTAAGTAAAAGATACTATATTTAATATACTGTCTTAAGATGGTGAGAAATATGATTCTAAAATTAGAAAGATTTACTTTGAAATGGCTCATACAAACTTTTGGTATAAAAAACTTCCATTACCTTCAAAATTTATGTTCTAGAGAAAAGAATAAAGTAAATGAGACATTATTACATAAACAGCTTGGATATCTCTGCTGTAAATACCCATCAGTGTGACTTATGCTACTCTATCTGAAGCTTTTCTATGGGATCACTCATCACTTATACTCTGCAATGTTGTATCTCAAGTGCAGATTCCAGGGAGGCGGTAAATTGTTGTCACTGTCTCAGTGACATTGCTGCCACCTTGTAACAAATCTGTATTCATTAATCCTGTTTGCTACAGTAACAGAATATACCAAGGCCCTCTGAGATTAGTAAGAAATCAAATTTCAAAATCAAAACCACATTTCAAACTTCTTAAAAGATACTTTTTTGTTCAATTCCTTTGTAAAAACATTGGTCACCATTTAACATACATGGCAACAAAATGCACCCAATTTACATGCATCAACAAGTTAATAAATCGTAATACACGGACAACATAAATTTCAAACAAACAGTACTAAAGTAGCTCATGTTGCATTTAACGATAGTTCTTGTGCTCCTAATAGAGAAGTAGTTAATATGAGAAACAAACAGTTCCAGTTTAAACCTGAATTAAAGTTCTTTGTAGAAAATAACATGAAGCAATGATCATATGAAGTCATTATCTTAAAAAGAACCATTCTTCAGAAATCACTCTTGTGCAAAGCACCATGCTAGCATAGACTATGATTTTAAAAAACACATACCTTCAGTTAGAGACCAATGGTCTCCATTTTTTGAAATTTAATTACCTGATTCAAATTTTTATTATGCCCATAAATTAAAATCATCTTTCAATGTGAAGGCTATATATTTTGACACCTTAAGTAATTCGGCAGATGTTCATTAAAGCAAATATTCCTTAGGACTGATATGGGATTTAATTAATAAGAAGTTAAGCACCACATACATTTTTGGAAAACAGAATGGACTGCCATCAATATACAAGTTAGGGACAAAAGAAAGCACCTACAGTTTACCTCCCCACCGCCCAAAATATAGGTACTCTAATCCTACGAATCTGAAATTTTACAAAGGATTTTTTGTCTGGTTATCTGTGTGTGGTATTACATGGAAGATACAAAACAAAACTCTATTTAAGATCACAAGTTCTAGAATTATGATTTGATTCAATAAGAATGTTATATTATTTGTGCATGTTATATACTTTTTAGATTATATGCTATATTTTTATGCTTTCTCCCCTCAAAGTCTATGATTAAAGGATAGCACTTATTCATTCTGAAGTGCATGAGAAAATTTACGACAAATTGCCTCATGAAAGAAAAAAATCCTCTTAAGAGTTCAAAGTAATTATGTATAAATAAAACCTCAAAATAAAATTGCTGTAAATCCTCTGCATCTATTTAACAACACAAATAACTTAAATAGCCAAAACATTATTTTAAGTTTCTCTCCTCCATGACGTATTTACACTGAAGTAAGAATAATTTTTTAGCATGTGTAACAGATCACACGCTAAAAAGTTTAAGGGTTCAGAAAACTAAAATTTATAATTCTTACATGGTTATTTAAGTCAGATATACAAAACTATAAAATAAGTAATTTCAACCTAAAATATTCTTTAAATACCACAAAAGAAGAAAAAAGAAAAACAGGGAGGAAGGATTTCCTTTCATGTAATTTTTGAGTAGACTAGCAAAAAAGCAAAATATTAAATACCTAATTTTCACTTCAAAAGAAATTATTCATAAATAAAATTCACTAAGTAAGATATAATGAGATTAGGAGTATGAGTACAGAATATTCAGATTCATTCCATTCAGATGAGATGATGACATATTTGGAGAAAAAAAAGAAACCTTCCCAAATAATGTAATTTGTATCTCATTAACCTTCCAAACATCATTTCAACTTCACCATTTATACCATAAACCTTCTTGACAGTTCCTATTTTCAACATTTTCTTTTTAAAAAAAACTTTAGCCTCTTAATTTTCAAGCATCATATTGAATCCCTTAGTTCAATCTAATTCCACAATCCCCATTTCAAAGACTCTAAAATAATCATTTTCTTCCCCTCAAAAGCCAGAACTCAACATGTAATTATTCAAAACTAGGAAACTAAAGGTTAAAAAAAATCAATTAAAAATAGTACACTTGTTAGTATAAACGGTTATATGTAGCAGGGAGACCACATAATTGCTCTTTCTTCTTAACCTCTGGCTCTTAAAATAGTAAAGTCAGAAAATTAAAATAAGTGATATATGCTTAAAATACTTAAAATCTGTATCCATATCCATTTTCAACACATGTGAGAGTTAAGAAAATGACTGAAATTATATGATTATAAATGTTTACTGCATAACAGTACAAAATTGATGTTGCCAAAAAGAGGGTAAAAAAAATCTTTAACTGATACTAAACATCTTAAGTAATTTGGAAAATTTTCAAGATTGAAATTTAACTACCAGGGAACAACAACCAAAAATGCTTTCATGCATGTACATATGTTAAGTAACAAATAAGCAAACCCCAAGTCAATACAGTACATCAATGACTGATACTTAAATAACATTATGAATATAAAAAGAAAAGATAAAATGTTGACTGCTATCGATGAAAAAGCATTTCAACAATTTACACAAAATGATACTGAATGGTTTTTTTAAAAAGATGTCCTAAGAAGGTCAAGCCACAATAAGTTAGTGTTTTCCATAATACATGCTAAATTATTTGATCCCAAATCTATACTGTTACTGTCTTAATTCCTAAATGTTGTGACAGCATATTTAATAACTGAGGTACATTAGTTTACATCTTTTTATAGGTATTCTAAGAGGATTAACTTTTTGTTTCCAGTTTTTCATCTTCTTCACCTCCTCCAAAGAAAATCAAAGGAAACATTCCTAGAATGCAGCCAATAGTCACCCCAACAGCTTTGCCCTAAGGAAAGAAGAGAGAACATTTTTGAAAAGTTACTTTATCTCTGATAACAAGAAGGCAGGAAAAAAATCTCACCAGCTATTCTCAATATATTTGGATTTGCTACCATTCATATATATTCTTTTTCAATATTTATCCCTGTATTTATGTAGATACAATTATATCTAATTTATGTAGACATAATCATTATGTAAACATAGCTTTGTTTTCTTCCTCAATCCGTATCCCTGCACAGACCACACATTTTCTTATAAACTCTTTTCCAAATTGCTGCATAAACTTAAAGACTTCTAAATTCCACTGAATTGACAGGTCTATATTCTACTCTTTACAGTAATAGCCACTGCTACTTCTTCAACATTGTAAGAGAAATAACAATGAGCATTTCCATGTATAGTTCTTCCCCAATTATTTACGTAAAAATCAAATAGAATTAATATTTGTGCATCTTCATGAAGTATTGTCATGCTGTCCATCCTTGACAAAGCAGCACATACTTACGTACCAATTTCAGTATATATAAATGTATACATAAATACCAATTTTCCTGCAACCTCTCCTACATTATAAAAATTTTGTTTTATTTTTATTCTTTTTAGAGACAAGGTCTCCCTCTCACCTAGGCTGGAGTGCAGTGCATGATCATAGCCCACTGCAGCCTTGAACTCGGGCTCAAGTGATCTTCCTCACTCAGTCTCCCCAGTAACTAGAACTACAGACACATGCCACTATCCCTAGCTAATTTTTTTTAGTTTTATTTATTTATTTATTTTGGTAGAGCTAGGGTCTCACTATGTTGTCCAAACTGATCTTGAACTCCTGGCTTCAAGAGATCCTCCTACCTTGGCCTCCCAAAAGGGATTACAGGCTGCAGGAACCACCACACCCAGATCATTATAAAAATTTAAAACTTTTATTTTTGTAAATGGTTTTCAAAAGTCGCATTCCTATGATGACTATCAAGTTTAAATACTTTTCAACTAAGTTTCATTTCCTCATACAAATATTTATTGAGAAGCTACAATGTGTCAAACTCTGTACTGGGTGTACCACAGAGATGGACTAGTCTTATGCAGTCTGTCTCTCTCCTTCAGGAACTTCTAGTTAAGTACATAGAGAAAGACAAAGTAAGTTCTAGCAAACATTACAGATATTATGATAGCTACATAAACTTAACCATGAATGAAATGTTTTCTCTTATACATTGTCTATTTAGCTATCATATCTTACAGTTTTTCTAACGAATTTTAATAGTAGACTAATGTTTTGACAATAGCTTGCATAAAAATTATTCAACTCTATTATTTTGATGGTTTTGGTGGTGGTAGTGGTATCGGTATTATAACCAATGCTTGATATTAATAATCAAAACTGTTATGTTCATTATGCCAAAACTTTAAAAGGTATCATTCATGCAGAGTTTTAACAAGCAGAAATTTTCTTCATTCCACATGCTGATAAAGTTAATCCCAGCTTCTTGTTTTTTGACTTTAACATATTTACTCATTTGAATACATGCAGAGAGAAATCATTACATTCTATTTTAGACTCCTGACTTTCTCATATACATAAAATAACCATTGCTAATAGGCCCCACTTTCATTTCTCACCCATTGTGTTAGAATTACTGTTTACTATAGTTCACAGCAACCAAGGCTTTCCCTACCCCTCACTTTAGGAATACCAGTCAGCAATTTCTAACCCAATTATCTCAAGAGATATAACATCAATAGGGTGGAGAGGAAGGAAAAAAGTGATATACTTTTCTTACTCCCTGATCCGGGAACTGAAACAAATCTTTCCATTGTAAAAAACAGTTATTTAATCATTATAACTATGTCTTATGATACTCTAGGCCCCATAGTTAACTACACTGGGGCTAATCGTAGAGCTTGAGTCCATCTGTAATACTGTTTCATAAGAAAATATCTTTTGACTTTCAAACAACCAAATTACAACTGAGGTTTAAAAATACACCTATGTCAATTGGAACCTGCATGTGTACTTGTATATATTCTATTATGGGTAAATTTCCGAGTTAGCTTATGTTACGAGTAGATGGTTGATCACTAACTTCAAATAGTGTAGGCTGTATAGAATCAAAATGCTATGTTACAGGGTAAAAGATTTGATTCTAATATAAAACAAGCAGAGTCAAAAACTAAGGAACAGAATCACTGTTGCCATATACTGATGAGGGCTTTATCATCTCACACACACACACACACACACACACGCTCAATATATTAATATTAGTTTAGTATTTAGATGTTTCTGCCATAGGGAAGAGAAAATGCACCTACTTTTAATATATAAAGAAAACAATTATTATGTCCCAGAAAAATAAACTTCTCCTAATCCCAACTTCAATGCTAAAATTTTAAGACAAATTGTTAGAATATTAGAATATCATTATTCCCTCAAAACTCCAGCTGGTATCAGGGGCTAGTCTCACTTTACTTACAAACTATAAGATATGAACACATGTAAACTAAAAGAAAAAGCCCAAAATTAACATTCAACTTTCTTAAAATACTTTTCAACCTTTATAAAGTAAAATACAACAAGCAAATAGGTCCTCATTTTGTTTCTCCACACTCTTCCTACATTTTGATTGAAAACCAAACACTTCCCTGGTATAGTTGTGATCCTTTTACTACTGATATTTTAAAGGGTAGCAATTATTGCAGATTTAAAGTGATTAGCAATGAATTTAATTCTATATTACCTATTTGCATGTTTTTATACTCTGTATGAATATTTTGCATGTAAAAATTGTTTACTTCCAAAACATTTAATATCTTCATTAAAATAAATTCCATCTAACTTAAGTACATTAATTTTACATTTTATTCTTCTTCATCTCCCATTAATGTTTCAATCTACTGCCATTTGGTTTTTCTTATATCAGTCCACAGAAATTGCTCAGAAACGATTATCAGTGAGCAACCACATACCAAATCCAAAAACAAACAAACAAAAATTATCAGAAATCTTACTTGATTTCTTTACATCAAGAGGAATTGATTACCATTCATTGCTTCTTAAAACTCCTTCCTTAAAAGCTCCGTAAGACTATGAGCTCTTAGGTATTTTCTAGGGTTCTTTAATTCTGCACATTCTCTGTGGAACAACAGCTCTCAAACTTTAATGTACATCAGAATTAACATACAAATTGCTGGGTTCTGTCTCCAGAATTTTTCATGCAGACAGATTTTAAGGTAGCCCCCATGATACCTTCCTTCCTTCTGGTATTTAAGTCTTTGCATAATCTCTTCCCCTTGAGCATGGGAAGGATGTCCTAACTTGCTTTGAATAATAGGAAAGGTGATGGGATACTACTCCTGTGATTATATTACATTACACAGGGCTCCATCTTGCCATCTCCCCAGCAGACTCATTCTCTTTCTGCCTTGTTGGCTCTGAAGATGCAGGCTGCCTTGTTGTGAGAGGGTCTACAGAAAGGACCACATGACAAGGAACTGCAGGTGACCAATAGATTGGGGTGTCCAATCTTCTGGCTTCCCTGGTTCACACTGGAAAAGAAGAATTTTCTTGGGCCACACATAAAATACATTAACACTAACGATAGCTGAAAAGCTTAAAAAAAAAAAAAAAAAAAAAAAAAAAAGAATCCCAGAAAAATCTCATAATGTTTTAAAACAGTTTAGTTTACCAATTTGTGGTAACTTTTGGGTTACCAAAAGCAGGTTGCACAAGCTTCCTCTAGACGGAGGAAGGCCTCTAGGAGATGAGAATGCAACAGTAAGCCAGAGTTGGGTCCCTCACAGCCACAAGGGAATTAACTTTGCCAAAAACCTGGGTGAGCCTGGCAGTGGATCTATCACCACTTGAGCTTCCAGAAAGGAACCAGGTCCTATCTGGACATGATTGAACCCTTCCAGAGGACACTTCTAAGCTATTCCTAATCTGACCCACAGAAAATGAGAGATAACAAATATATGCTGTTTTAAGCTGCTGAATTTATAATAATTTTTACATAACAATAGACAGGTCTAAGATGAAGACTGAGTGTTTGCATTTCTAAGAAGTTAAGGTAATACTGATCCTGCTGATGCTGGCACCATATTTTGAGAACCACTCTCCTATAAAATCTCATCTTCTTCCATGGTTTTAACTATCACCTCCCTTTTCAGTGAGGCCTACAGTGACTCTCCTATTGGATATTGCAGTCTGCTTCCATCCTAGCACTCCTAGCCTCTTTAACCTCCCTCTGCTTTCTCTTTTTATTCCCATAACACATACAAACTTCTAATATGCTAAGTATTTTTATTTATCATATTGTTTATTGCCTGTCTCCCCACTGCTTGAATGTAAGATCTACCAGAAATAAGATCTTATTTTGTTAACCAATATATTCAAAACTCCTACATCTCTACCTGGCATAGAATACGTAAACAATAAGAATTTGTTGAATGAATGAGTGACAATATCCATTATCATTAACTCGGACCTATCTAAACTCCTGACTTTAACCCAAATGCCTACTAAGTTGTCACCACTCAAATGTACTACTAGTATCTCAAATTCAATGTGTCAAAAATGGAACTCATGATCTTCCCTTACAAGCTTATTCTTCCTCCTTTTTTTCTGGATTTTATTGATGGGATCACGATCCATCCAGTTTCCCTCTTATTTAAAACTCCCCTGGCTCTCCATCACTTAGGTAAGAAGCTCAAGCTCCTTAGCATTCATAAACAATGCCTTTCCTGTCTGATCCATGCTTACTTCTCCAACATTGCTTGCTGCTGCTGGTACCTACAGCTACTACATATTATATTCCTGAAATACGTTCTTGTATTTACCTAAATATACCCTTTTTTATCATGCTTTTCTACTTGCTAGTCAGTATACTTGGAATTCCTCTTATTCATCTAGAAAATGTCTCATCAATAATTCAAAAATCAGCTTAGATCTAATAATCACCAAGAAATCTCCCCACCAAAAGAAGTTTCTCCCCACAGTGTTAATTCCCTTGCCTCTATCATTGTTATATCTTGCACATAATTCTATTACTGCATGTCAAACTAAATTATAATTTGTTTACATGTTTAGTTTTCCACCTAAACAAGTTCCTCAAGGATAACCATAATTTTTCATTTTCTTTATTATTCATTTTATGTTCTTTAGTCCCCAACCTTTAAGAGATACTCCTATTGAGGAGTATCTACTAAGTGAATTGCATAAATATTTTTTAAAAATTAAGTATACCTACAAAAAATAGGGAGTTAATAACATAAATTACTGTTCTTCTGAAAACTGCCAAGGCCTGGAAAATTTTTGTTAAAAACTCCATTCAAACCATTTTTAGTCTCAAATTTCTCAAGGGCCTGAACTATACCGTATCTTGCTCTAGCTACCCAATTCATTATCATAAACCATGTAAATTACTTACCAAATGTGTACTAAGACGTGTTTGCCACATGTCAACTTGCTTTGGTGTGAGATCAGGAATTGACAGGCCTAACCTAGAAGCCAATGCTTCAACGTAGCCTGCAAGTCTTTGAAGAAACAAGACAATTCGGTATATGAGTTATGTTTCAATTAAGCCTTTATAAAAGCAAAAAAAAATGAGGATAGAATATAGGTTTTTAAAAAGACATGCAAATATCCTCATACAGTAAAAAACTAATTACTACAAGGAGAAGCAAGATAATTTTACATTTGCGCTTGGTACTCCAGAAATGACATAAACAGTCTTTACAACTTTCAATTTTTATTGTATGTAAATATATTGTTTAAAAAATATTTTCTTATTAATATTTAATACAAAGGAAAATCAATTGACTTAGAGCAATTATTCTCTAGTATTATTTTTAAAAACAATTCGAGGTATATAACAATTTTATACAGATAATTAGAATTTCTGTAATTATTTCAAACGCAAAGCAAAGCACTTTAACATAGGATACAAATTAGTAACTTATCAGACAGCAAAAGTTTCCAAAATTCCTCAGATTGGTAAACTAATAAAAATACCCTAGAACTTTCAGGCCATTCTCAAGTATTTTATCAATTCTAAGTTGCCATCATTTATTGGATACACTCTTACTTTATGAACCGTAAGAATGAAAAAAAAATGCCAATTAAACTATGCATACTACCAACAATAAGATGGATCCTGATATCAAGTATGTTAAGAATATGCATCTGAGAATGCATAAAATGTGACATTTGTTATTTAATGATACCCCCCAAAAAGAGAGAAGAGAAACAGTTTTGAAACACGAAGACTCCCAGAAAAATCTTCATCTCTAAACGAAAATAACTGTTTTATGATGTAATATACAACTAAATGGCTTTAAAATTCCTAGACCATTTGGTTCTATTAAATATATCAGAAAGCTATACAATGACTATAATATTCTCATTATTTACTTTAATGTTGAAAACTGGGAAATAGAATGTTTAAGAGGTGACGTCATGATATATTTATGCCAGGAATTTCAAGAATATAAAATTCTTGCCATGGTCCTAAAGCAAAGAAACTTCATTTTTAACTGTGGCTTTGGCCTCAAACACCAGTGCAGAAGTCTAACATAAAAGATTAAGGTTGGATCACTTATAAAGCTGGTTTGCCTAGATTACAGGGCTAAGTAAACTTTTACTAAGAAAAAAAATTCAGCTCTAAAATTCTAACACTCAAATGAACCAGGGAAAGAAGAAACAAAGTCAAAGAGCAAGAGAGAGCATATTTATCAAAATAATGTCCACTTAGGCTAATTTATATTCCCCCAGCCTTCCCCAAGCTCAGGAAGCAGCTCAGGCCATCTGCCACTTGGAACAAGAATGTAAAGAGAGAATGCTGGCCTTTTCTAAGTAGACATCCTCATTTTATTTCATTAGTCCTGCCACATGAAGTAAAAAGAGCAAAAAACAGCCACACCCATATATGCTTTGGCCATTACTTCCTTTGAAAAATCCCCTTTTGGAAAATAAGTCTAGTAGGTATCCTCAAATTTGAGCCATATCCTTTCTCTTTGGGTTGTGTGGGAGTAGCGTGAGGTGGAATAATGAGAGTTCTTGCTTTTAATCCTGCCTTACCCTTGGAGATCTCTATAAAATACATATAAATACTTCAGTAAACACAAGTTCCATTTTGCTTATATTACAGTCGATTTAGAATAAATTTTTGCATACATCAGAACCACTAATGAAAATTACCAAACACAAATGCTAGGGCTCCCTCTCCAGAGATACTAATAATGTATAACTGGGATATCACCCAGGCATCTACATTTGATGAACACCAAAGATTTAGTATTATTAGTTTAGAAAACGTAAATTTGAAATTTTAGTTCTAGAACACAAAGAAAAATTAAGTATTCCTTTTTTATGCTTCTCAATTAAAGAAGAGTAGGGAATAGAAAGACAGCAAGTACAGAAGACACAAATGAAGAAGTGAATGAACCTACCCAAGTCCAGCTAAATCTGACACAAGATTTCCCAAAGCAGCAGCTAAAAATTTAAAAAATTAACAAATAAATCATTACATAAAATAATAATTATAATACATCACTATGTAATCAATAAGCACTGATTTTGGAAGAGCTGCACATTTCTCAAACTACAGCAACTATATCCAAAGTAACTCATTGGACAGCTCTTATTCTGAAGGTTTTGAAATACAACACAATTTTGAAATTATAATAGTCTACCTCCATTAAGTAGTATTTTTTCTTCTGTTATGGCAGCCAGTTTCTATTTTGATTTCAATATTAATTGTACAATATTTTCTAGTATCTTTCATGTAATATTTAAAGGAATTAGTAAAGTTGCATGTAGAGCTATGAAATTCAAGAAAGTCAAGGAGAAAAAATACTTTTTCTCATTAATTCATTTACCTAATGCTTTCTACAATAAATACAACATAGAACTGTTCCCAAATTCTACCTCCGTGAAGAACAGAGTGGTAAAAAGGACAGAGGAGACAGATGTTTAATCCTGTATTTCCTTCTTTGATTTTTCTACCCAGCTTAAAAATATATATATATATATATACTTACTTAAAAATAAATTAAAAAATAAATATGTAAGTAATGGGCTGGGCGCAGTGGCTCACAACTGTAATCCCAGCGCTTCGGGAGGCCGAGGCGGGTGGATCATGAGGTCAGGGGTTTGAGACCAGCCTGGCCAACATGGCAAAACCCGTCTCTACTAAAAATACAAACATTAGCTAGGCGTGGTGGTGGGCGCCTATAGTCTCAGCTACTCAGGAGGCTGAGGCAAAAGAATCACTTGAGCCCGGGGCAAGGGCCCAGGAGTGAGCCAAGATTTCGCTACTGTACGCCAGCCTGGGCAACAGAGACTCCGTCTCATAAATAAATAACAGTGGCAAAGGGTAGAAATGTTTAGGAGTAACACTGAATTGCCAGAAAAACTTGTCTTAGCGAAATCAGTGTAACCGAGTACTGTTATCCAATAACTAATAATATAAAGTACTTAAAATTTTCAGAAAAAGTGCAACATATACAAAACTAAGAATTAGAAGAATAGGATGAAGAAAATTAACAGACATCTCAATGAGTAAACTCATTCAAATAAATTCCCTCTTCTAAACCTACTGAAATGTTTTATAAATGTAAAGACAATGAAGTAACAACATTAACTATTGTTAAATACCTGCCATAGTTGAAATTCCCAAAATAATTCCAATAGACATTTCAATATGGGTTCCCTGAAATATGATAAAAAATTAATCTTAAAAATTAAAGCTGAAGTGACTACAAAATAATAGCAAAGCATTGATAAAAACAGATACAATAGTGAAATCAACATGTTAGTGCTACAAAATTATATACATCAAATATGCACATATAATGTAGTAATTCATTACATTATTAAATATATGATTCATAGATATAACATCAATAATATTTTATTCAAATTAGGCTTTTATAAAAATAAAATTAGCAACACAAGAGAAATACAATTCTTCATTAAAAATCTAGAATTTATATTTTTCTATCACAGAGAAAAATGCTTTAAAGCTTTTGAACACAAGACCAACTCACATTGATTTTATATTCTGAACTATACATCTATACTATTGTTATTTACTCTCTCAAAAGATTAAAAAGAGACTAAACCAGTTTGTTATTTACTCTATCAAAAGATTAAAAAGAGACTAAACCAGTTTCTAGGGAAATTGGGGTTTATAAATTATCCTTGTAACACGTAGCTCTTTAACCATTAAGTAGTGAAACTATACATTCATTTATAAGCAGCAACAGCATTTAGTACAATAGATCTACATGAAAAACAAAGCCCTATTGCATCGCTACTGAACTGAGTTTAAGACTTTCTACCTGTATATCATCATTCCTCTGAAGCTCACATTTTCACTTACATTTTAAAAATGAGGAACTGAAGTGAAGGCGATTGAACTATTCCAATAGAATAGAGACCCTAGGATCTACTGCGCTAATTCAGTTCGAATCCCTGAGCAATGCTGCCATTAGTTAATTTTCAAGAGTTCTCTTGAATACTGGTGCTTGAACATTTCTAAAAAATGTTTCAAATCTCAATGATATTTGTGAAGGGAAAAAAGTCCTATTTGTTATGTAGAAAAACTGCATTCCTCATCAATTATTTACAAAACGGAAAAGAGTTTTCCTCAAGATTATTTCCCCTAGAGCTTTTGGTTGTATCACGTTAATACATAATTCTTGCTGAATATGGACCCAACAGCCTGATGCATAAAAGTTCGAAAGTCTTTTGTCTTAATGCATAAAAGTTCGAATTACAAGGCTGTAAATATACCCCAAGAAACAGATTTCTGAAGAAGAAATAAAGAGAAAGAAAAGAAAAGGTAAGACACTGAGAAAAAGAATGAAGATGTGTATCATTATATGTGAATGTAAAAAAAAAACTAGAGCACCAATATAGAAGAGAAGCACATGATAACAGTCTAATAATAAATACAGCATCTTAACAGCAATGGATGGCTGGCAATGGCCCAAAGAGAATCTCTTAATAATTTAATCATTTGGTTGAATGTAATACAGCTGAAGGTCCTTTTAACAGCAAGAAAAGCCCCATATAAAGTCAAAGATGGCTTGAGGGAAATGGACTATCCACTGCTTTACTGCGTCCCATAGTTACATCAAACTTTGTGTTAATAGGTGAGGTAGAAATTAAAAATAAGCTGAATACTAATAGTTGTCTTAAGTTACACGTGGTTCATTATTCTTAATACAATCAATCTACTCTAGAATTCTAATAAATTCCATCCAATTAAACTGTAAGTAAAGTAACTCAAAACAAACCCTAGTTATAAAAAGCAATCCAATAATATAAAAATATTTTTAAAACTATGAAACAAAGGTTTAGTATGAAAAGCAACCAATATAAGGGCCAAATCTAATACAGAGGTTACACAGGAATTTGTTTTTATGACTACCACTAGGGTGGGAAAGTACACCTAACAGGAAGGAGGAAAACATCAAAAGTCCATGATACAAAAAAAGAAGAATCAACTATCTCCTCAACTTACTGTCTTAAAACAGTTATAGCTGTCCCACAATGAGAGGGGTTGATCAATATTTTTTAAATAAAAGATGAAAAACATTCTCAAGATAATAATCATTTATTTCCCCTTTCATAGATTCTACAGTAAATTATTTATATGTTTTGGTCTCAGCATTCCATATTATAAAGCCTCAATGGAAAATTTTATTGTCTCTAAATTAGTTTGCAACTATCACAGGATAATATTTTTGCCACACCTACTACTATTAATCAGGTAGTGATGTCAGTGGCTTAAACATTTATTTCACTATTATTTAAATAAAAACTGCTTTTCTGTGTACTGGATGTGCTGGAGGGAAAAAATAAGAAAAAATAAATAAAATGGTTGTTAAACCCCTGAAACTGGATTTCAATATAAACAGAATAACAAGTATTACTAATTTGGAGTTAACCATCTCAGGCCTGGAAAAATAATGGACTCTTAGTTATCCTAATAATGAGGCCCAGACCTGGGGAACATCAAATAGTGAACAATACTACAATAATTTGACCCTAGAATGTGGGTGTTTGATTTAGTAGCTGACCCCCAGCAATCTGGATATAAGGCTAGACTATATAGAAAACAAAACCATTCTTGAATGAACCATGTTTACATAAAATTTATAATCTATACAATGTAAATACTTTTAAAATTCCTATTTTGAAACCAAATATATTTATGTCCATTTGTAGTACTTGTGATTTCTAAAACACCAAAAAGAAAACCTGCCTCTCTCATAGGTATTTTCCTCACATTCAACAATCCTAAGGTCATTCCACTTGTTCAGCAGTCTCCTACACTTTAGCTATCATTTAAAAAATTTTTTTAAAAGTTAGAGTTAGTGAAGCTGAGAACAAACTCTGTAAGTCCCAACTGAGAAAAGTTTCTAGTGTGAAACACTTTGATTTTCTCCAACGAGTTTAAATTAAGACCCTACCTGAGAACTCATAAACTGGTATTCAAAGTACATTATACTGTTTTCTCCTCCCACTAAGTGTATTCAAGATCTATTACCTTCAATCTAATGCTAATAGCTAAAAAGAATGACTTCACATAAAATATTCTAAAAATATGTATTTGAAGTTGGTAATTGCCATCTTAACTACACTGTGATCAATCTATCTTACTTGGACAAAATAAGAGAAGTGACTAGCTTTTTGACTGATTATGGCATTTTCTTTTTTTTTTTTTTTTGAGACAGAGTTTCGCTCTTGTTACCGAGGCTGGAGTGCAATGGCGCGATCTCGGCTCACTGCAACCTCCACTCCTGGGTTCAGGCAATTCTACTGCCTCAGCCTCCTGAGTAGCTGGGACTACAGGCACGCGCCACCATGCCCAGCTAATTTTTTGTATTTTTAGTAGAGACGGGGTTTCACCATGTTGACCAGGATGGTCTCGATCTCTTGACCTTGTGATCCACCCGCCTCGATCTCCCAAAGTACTGGGATTACAGGTGTGAGCCACTGCGCCCGGCTGGCATTTTCATGATATGTATATAAGAATAAAATTGGCCTATTTATATATCTGTGAATGTGAGAAACTTATTCAACTATTTAGAACCATGCCCTCTTCTCTGAAACTACTGAAATCTGAGTTGACTAGATTATTTAAACAACTACTGTAAATCAAATCTAATTGTAACAAAAACCTCATTATGATAAATTCATAAGCTGTAGTTAAATTTTGGTATGTTCTTGAAAATGGAGAGAGCACTGGGCAGTTTCAGAAGACTTGCATTTTAATCATGGATCCATTTCTGACTTGTAGAGTATGAACCTAATAGTGGTATACATTAACAAAAGGCCTTACATAGTAGTAAGAAAGGTAAGTCAGCCATCTCTGAGATTAAACACTTTTAAGGAGCACTCTTACATTAAAATACCATAGCAAAGGGGAATTTTTTTAACACTACGATGGAACAAAGGCAAAAGGGAGATATATTCATTTAATTGAATTGAAACTTTAAAAAAATGGCTAGACTGAAGGTTAGACTATGTATCCAAACATGCTTTAAAACACTTTCACGGCCGGGCACAGTGGTTCATGCCTGTAATCCCAACACTTCGGGAGGCCGAGGTGGGTGGATCATGAGGTCAAGAGATCGAGACCATCCTTGTCAACATGGTGAAACTCCATCTCTACTAAAAATACAAAAAATTAGCTGGGCATGGTAGCACGCGCCTGTAATCCCAGCTACTCAGGAGGCTGAGGCAGGAGAATTGCCTGAACCCAGGAGGTGGAGGTTGTGGTGAGCTGAGATCACGCCATTGCACTCCAGCCTGGGTAACAAGAGCGAAATTCTGTCTCAAAAAAAAAAAAAAAAAAAAAAAAAAAAAAAAAAAATTTTCACATTGGAAAATTGAACAAGGAACTAAATAAAAAACTTACCTATATATGTGATGATAATTGCCAACACAATTAAAGAACATCAGAACATTTTACATAGTATTTTTCTTTATTAAGAATGTTGAGATTAAATGGGATAATATAGGCCCCAAATGTTCTGTCTAAATGCTCTACCAAAAGTTTATTTGTTTAAATGGCTTACTTAACATCTTAATGATTAATAAATATGATGCCTTAAAATTGAACTACGGTCTAATTAATATAAGTAAAAAACATCCTTGTTCATTATATTAAAACTTTATAACTACAATAGGAAAATTATGAGGAAAATGTAGACCACATTAATTTATTAACTTAAAATAGAAGCAGTGAGAGAAAGAACTTACTGCAACAATCATAATTGCATTATCCAAAAAGCCAAACCCTATGAAAGGTATCGCATTGTGGATGAATACTGAAAAACAGAAAAATATATTTTAAGATTTCTATAACTTTAGAATGACAAAAACAGATGATATGATCAAAGTATCCTAAACAGACTTGATAATCTTCAAAATTTGATTCTCATTTTCCATAGCCAATAGATGCTGCTACTGCTATAAATAGAAGCTACATTGGGGAAAAAAACAAAACCAGAAAAAATACAAACATGTAAAATAATTGTTTTAGGCTTTTGTGTTTTCTTACTGGTAACACAAGCACACACACATAAATATACATACAATTAACAGTAGAACAAATTAGTAAACATATATAAGTACCATGTTTTACCTGATTAATTGCTACTGACATCAATTTCTTTTTCTCTTATGCCTAAAATCTGATACTATAAAATTGATTTCTGTATTAGAAATAATTAAAAATGTCCTAAATCAAATGTCAGAGAAGCTATTTGGTTGCTTTTACTCACTTGTTTTTTTTTTTAAAGAAATGTTAGTAAAAGGTGATTATCTCATCTATGTGCAATCTTTCCCACTCCCCACAATTTACTAATCTTCCTAAATGCTATTGCAAACTATAAACAATCAATATATTATTTAAATCAAATTGTAACTTCACCTCTTGCTACCAAAAACACACCTTACCTCATCTACTGGGTATATAATCTAAATGATCTGAGATATCAGAAATGTAACTACTAACACCTACATATTTTTTATATATTTATCTTCATTTCTTTCATATCTACATCTTCAGCAGAAAACCGAGGGCATAGAAGATGCTCAAAAAATATTATTTAATTAAGTTGATGACCACTAACCTGGAAAGTAAGAGAATTCCAGATTGAGAGAATTGAAGGCAGACTGTGAAACAGATTAAAAGCTGGGAATAGTTCAAAGACTTTATTCTAATTAATCTATAAAATTGCCAAGGTAGGGCCGGGCGCGGTGGCTCAAGCCTGTAATCCCAGCACTTTGGGAGGCCGAGGCGGGTGGATCACGAGGTCAAGAGATCGAGACCATCCTGGTCAATATGGTGAAACCCCGTCTCTACTAAAAATACAAAAAATTAGCTGGGCATGGTGGCACGTGCCTGTAATCCTAGCTACTCAGGAGACTGAGGCAGGAGAATTGTCTGAACCCGGGAGGCGGAGGTTGCGGTGAGCCAAGATCACGCCATTGCACTCCAGCCTGGGTAACAAGAGCGAAACTCCGTCTCAAAAAAAAAAAAAAAAAAAAAATTGCCAAGGTATAGTGAACATCTGTCCAGTAGAGGACTTTTTTCAACAGCATTAAAAAATAGTTTGTTTTCAACAAACATTAAATAAATAAATAAATAAACATCCAAAAAATAGTCTCTTAAACCAACTGGTTATATGTGTTTATTAATTTTCAGAGTCTTTTTTTCTTTTAATGCAGTTATTGCCACGGAAAGTATAATTAAAATATAATCCGGAAGTTATAAAAATTTGATATTACTATATTGAGCTCTGCACCTATCAGGGAAAGCTAATAAGCAGTCAAAAAAAAGCACTTCTACCCACAACCACTATCAGTGCCTAAGACCAAGGTACAATACTATATACAGTATAAGAATACTATTATTTCAATATTATTATAGCTATACAATATTACAGAAACCAGTACATAATAAGTATAAAATAGGTCATTTAAAATTTCTTCTTGATTTTAAATAAGAATGTCCAAGATCAAGGACAATATCTTTAATTACAAAAAATATTAGGTTATTAAAGATGGTAAAAATCAAGTAGAACATTAATAAAATGGAATTTTTCAAAGAGTCTAGCCTTAGTTTTTTAACTTACTGGCTAAGTCTGGTTGTTCACTAAACACTCAAAATTTTATGAAAAGCAGCTTCCAGAACCAATACATATTACAAATTTAATAGGTTAAGAATATAATGAAATTCTAAAAATTCACTAAATAAAACATTTACAGTGAAGAGAAAGCTACTTAAGTACAGCAAAATAATTATGAAACTGTTTAGAATTAATTAACATTTTGGGATTCACTCAATAGCATCTCTAAAATTGGCCAGTTACAAATATCTTAAAATTAGGTGATCTTAAATTAAGATTATACAAACTGCTATCCTAGTAAAACTTGGTCAGTAAAAACAAGGCACTCTGTTATAATAATCACTTTGAACTATAAGATTTGTTTTTAATGTTTATATCTATATAAATATGTCCTAAAATTAAAATTTATTTTAACTCAAAGAAAAAAATATTGTTTTTCAAAATGTTAAATAAGTATATACAGGGCACTCCACTGGGCACCTGAGATACCAAGATAAATAAGACTTGGTGCCCAGCCCTAAAGGGGTTTAGGTATGATAACACAGCCATATAAACAGTAAATTTCAATATTTCTATTTCTAAATGGCACTAATATTTTAATAATATTAGATCTTTTTAAAAATATTAGATATTTGAGTATTGTGTTATGTCATCAGCCAAGTTTATAAACTTTGTGCTTCATATAATGAACAGGATAATCTACTCTATCTGGAAAGATTTAATTTACTGACTCTTCTGTGCTATCAATGAATGATACAATTATTTCAAGTCCAAAAGATAGATGAACATATATTTAACAATTATAGAACCATTACCATATCTCAGCTGTCCTGGGGTGGGTGGTGGAGCTTCCAATTTTTCTAAAGGGGAAAAAAAGGGTGTGGGGCAAGAATTAGTTACTATAGCATGATATTTTTTATTACAATGAAGAAAATACAGAAGATTTACAAAGTGGGAGACTATCAGAGCTTATTAATAAATTAGGTTAATGGATCAAACTTATCCATACAGAAAATATTAATCAGTATGGATTAAATCAAAAGGTCAGCAAATGAAACTGAGCTTAGTTACAAGCCTAACATGGACTCTAGACCTGGGTAAGTTCATTTGTTTTTTGTTTTTCAGATTTTTTTAAGTCCTTGCATCTAGATAATGAGATTGTTTGCATTAATTAAAGTAGAAAAACACTTTAGAAATATAGCTACTCTTCTTTAAGATGACAACCCTAGATAACTTAAGAAATACACAAACAAAAATCATTGATAGTGGAAAAAGTGAATATTCCAACACATCTAGATATCTTTAAAAAGAAGAAAATATTTTTAAAGCAATGTATGAAAACAATGACTTCACTAAATTGTATTCTGTTCCTTAATCTCTGTTGATAAAATAACTGAACATTTTAACTTCTGGAACCTATACTACTGGGTAATAGGATACTCTACACAGTATAACAACTTTTAAAAGTAGGGTGATATTCAGAATCACAAGTAACAAAGTTTTCCCAAGCATAAGCCAGAGTATCTTTAAGTGTCATCATTATATCTAAAAATTAACAACTATTACAAGAAGCAACCTACCTAGTCTCATAACAATAACCATCTCACCATTTGTTTAAGAGTAAACTATAATAAAAAGGTAGAAAATTCCATCTTCTTTACAGTCAACCAATTGGACAGAATTGTCCTCATACAGAGAAGAATCCATATAGTGGATCACTCTAAAGTTTTGGTACAACCAGATTATCCTAAGAAACACATTACAAACTAAATATACATATTAAAAATTTTTACGTATATTATATGACAACATAAGAATAATTTAGTATAAAAAGTAAAAATCAAACAAATCTCCATTGATAATCTATATATAAAAGGAAATATAGTCCACATTAGTGACTGGTATCTTACACGTTCCATAATGGCTTTACAGTAAGAAATACATTAAAACTACGAGTTTAATTTTCATATTACTTAGAAAGTTCTAAGAAAGGAAGCTTAACTTTTACTTTTTCTTTTTTAGAAGAATTAAGAAGTGAAGATATATACTAATCTTTTAGAAATTTCACATATGATTAAAATATATTCTTCTTCTTTGATTAACATGATTAACTCAAAATCTCCTTTGAAAGCACGCAAGTGGTTTTCCAAATATCTATCAGGGAATACAGGATATTGCTATACTCCAGAGAATTTTCTGGTGACAAAAACATGCAAAAGTGGTTACTTACATACCAGAACTATTTGTTAGTTGCTTTACTCTCATCATCACTACAGTTCTGACACTGAGAAGTCCTTGTCAGTTGACTGCAACATCTTGAAATACCTAAAAATTCAACAAGCAGGACCTTCCCAATAGAATGAGAGTATATGGAGTCCTTGCTTTCACTTCTTCAAACTCCCAACTCACTGAGTAAAACATTTAAAAATTTTTACAATAGCAAAGAAGAAAAGGGCTAGGCAAGTTAAAAAAAAGCGTGTAGTGGAATACAGAAAAAAATCAAATAATATAATCAATGTTCCTAATCTTTCTTTCCTACTACACATAAAAAACTAGAGGCAATTAAGAAATGCTAAGAGAAAAAAATATAAAATAAAGGAGATAAAGCAGGAAGGAAAACTATTGGCACAAAGATGAAAGTATAATCAAAACACAGATTCTACCTCCTGCTTCACAAAGAACCTATAGAGTACAAGAGGAATCACGAAAAGAACATTTCCTAGGAAGTGAAAATCTTATTGGAAAGTATCCATCAAATTATTTTATTTTATTTTATTATTTTTTGAGACAGAGTCTCACTCTCTCACCCAGGCTGGAATGCAGCAGTACAATGTCAGCTCACTGCAGCCTCCGCCTCCCAGGTTCAAGTGATTCTCCTGTCTCAGCCTCTCGAGTAGGTGGTACTATAGACATGTGCCACCATACCCAGCTAATTTTGAATTTTTAGTACAGATGAGGTTTCACCATGTTGGCCAGGCTGGTCTTAAACTCCTAATCTCAGGTGATCCACCTGCCTCAGCCTCCCAAAGTGCTAGGATTACAGGCATGAGCCACTGCACCAGGCCCAGATTTTTTTTAAATCAGAAATTATTCTTTCTTATGTTAACTGAATCAAAACAAAACATACATCAGACGTAAAAAAAAAAAAAAAGAAAAAGAAAAAAAAAGTTACCTATACAATACACAACAGAACTTGTAAATCAGCCCAAGGTTTCAGTCATCTATAGGTTTTAAAATGTAATTACTGCTAATATCCCTGAAAATAGTCACAATACATCCCAGAAGGTTTATTTCCATATTTTTTTAAGAATTTCCTTTTGACATATGGTAAACTATCTATACTTACATTGGAAATGTTTTCTGCTCCAATTTTTTATTAAGTGAACTATGGAGTTAAAACATTTCTTTCCGTGTGTGTGTGTGTGTGTGTGTGTGTGTGTGTGTGTGTGTGTATTATATACATCATACTCTCTTCTTTTTCTGGATATTTTTAAATAATAAAATAACAATTAAGCTTGCACTTCACCATACCACATTTGCCACATTACTTTCCACGATGGCTGAGTAACCTCTTATCAGAGGAATTTTCCTGCATGGAACAACTATAAACTGCAGACAAAAATACAACAAATCAACTACCTGAAAGCACTAGAAAATTACTGAAACCAGGCTGATTCTAGAGAGGAATCAACACAGAAAAAGAAATGACACTAAGTGAGTTAGTTACCTGTTCGTTGCAGCTTTCAGCCTGTGGGCAGGCCCCAGTCACAACATGCAGAGCAACTAAAGCTCTGATGAAAATTCCTCAGTCTATCTGTCTGAAGAACCAGAGGATGAGGTGCCAGGTAACCAAAGCAACTAGAAAGTGAGGGAATAATCCTGGAAAGGATAGAGTCAGAAAGGAAGAGTCCTAAATTCTCTGCATATATTCAGTTCAAGTCTATAGCTGACTTGTGGAACCACACATGTGCAGGGAAAACTTCAAAAATGCCAGCTAAAGGTAAAATGAGTAAAGATTTGAGGGCAGCCTAGATGAGTTTGCAGTTTGAACCTAACCATTAAATGCCTGCTAAAACAAACAAAAATCAACGCATTTCAGATGAATAAAACAGAATCCAGAGTCTCTACAATGTAATAATTACAGCAATAACTAGGATACATCCAAAATTACTTCACAAAGAAAAAGAAAAATATGACCCATTTTCAGAAGACAATAGACAGAGACCAATTCCAAAGCCACTCAAATGTTAGAATTAGGAGATAAAAACTTTAAAGGAGTAATTAAAAGTATAGTCAAAGATGTAAATAAAAATATGCTTAAATGAATGATAAGACAGGAAATCTCATCAGAGACACAGAATACTGAAAAAAGAACCAATAAGAAGTTCTAGAACTGAAGAGTATATTATCTGAAGTTATAAAATTAACTAGGGCCAGGGGCAGTGGCTTACACCTGTAATCCCAGCACTTTGGGAGGCTGAGGCAGGCAGATCACAAGGTTAGGAGTTTGAGACCAGCTTGGCCAACATGGTGAAACCCTGTCCCTACTAAAAATACAAAAAGTAGCTAGGCATGGTGGCAGGCACCTGTAAGCCCAGCTACTCAGGAGGCTAAGGCAGGAGAGGTGGAGGTTGTCATGAGTCAAGATTGTGCCACTGCACTCCAGCCTGAGCAACGGAACAAGACTCCATCTCAAAAAAAAAAAAAAAAATAGAAATTAAAATTTTTAAAAATTAACTAGATAGGTTTACAAGCAGAATGAAGATTACAGAAGAGTTAGTGAAAATGATGTCAAATCAATAAAAATTATTCAGTCTGAACAACAGAGACTAAAAGAATTGAAAAACAATAAACCAGAGTCTCAGGGAGCAATGGCTAAATATTAAAAGGGCTAATATATGTATAATTGTAGTTAAAAGACAAGTAGAGAAACTAGGAACAAAAACTCTTTGAATAAATAATGGCTACAAATTTCCCAAATTTGGTGGAAGACAAAAATGTCAAAAGATTCTAGAAGTTCAGTGGACTTCTAGTGAAATCAACATGAAGAAAAATAATCACAAAGCAAAAAATCTTAAAAGTAGAAATAAATGGCATATTAAATACAAAAAACAATAACATGAGTATGCAGAAAGAAAATGGGTATTAGTCCAGTACTCTACATCCAAAGAACGTATCCTTTAAGAATGAAGGCAAAAAGCATTTCAGATAACTGACACTATAAGAATGCGTTAGTCAACCTGCAATACGAAAAATGCAAGAGAAACTCTTTAGTCTGAAGAGAAATAGCAGTTGAGAAGTAAGTTCCTGAGAAAAGAATAAAGACCATCAGAAATGGTAAATGTCTGGGTAAATATAAAAGATACTTTTTCCTAGTAATTTAATTTAAATAGACATGATTGTCTAATGCAAAAATTACAACACTGCCTTATAGCGTTTATAAAATACGTAGATGCAATACATATGACATCATAGCATTAAGGATGAACAGAGCAGCAAATGGACCAATTTCATAATTTAGTTGCAACATTTCTATGACGAAAATAAAATGGTCAATATTAGCTGTAAGAGTCCAAAAAGTTGGCCAGGCACAGTGACTCACACCTGTAATCCCAGCACTTTGGGATACCGGAGGCAGATGGATCATCTGAGGTTGGGTGTTCAAGACCAGCCTGACCAACACGAAAAAACCCCATCTCTAAAAAAAAGAGAGAAAAAAATTTTTTAAAAAAAGAAAAAGAGTCCAAAAAGTTAGGAATGTGTGCTGTAATCCCTAGAGTAATTACATATACAGACAAAATAAAAGAGAACATAGTTAAGAATCTAATAAATGACTTGAAGGAGAATTTGAAGAAATGTT